GCATGCATCACAAACCGCACCTCCGATTACCAGTTGGCTACATACAATGCGAAAGAAGTTTAACATACATATGCATAAACTACCATTAGTCCTCAAGTTGGCGCCGATTATCGTCATTCAAAGAAGGCAAACTCCTGCCACGCGTGAGAAACCTCCCAACTGTTTTTGGGTGGGGTACCTTATAACTAATGGGCAGTTCCACAAATGAGTCAACCTCGGTAAAAAAAAACGTAAATATCATCCCAAAAATGCATGAGAGGTGTAATTATGAAGGTAATTACTACTATAATGAGCCAAGAATGTCTGTTTGTGTGTAACGCGCGTGACGTCACTCCACATGCCGCACCCCCCCCCCCCCATCATGAATATTCATGAGCAGGTGGATTTTTACACTCACGCATAATTTTTATTTTAGCAAATTCGCTTTAAGTTTGACGTGTCTTTATTGAAAGTGAATCTAATAAATAATTATATGCAGCAACAAAGTGGATTTGGTGTTTTTTTATTTCTTCAGCACTTGAGACAAAAGGTAAGTCTAATTTATGTTTCTACATGATGGTAAAATAGACATTTCTCGGTGATTTTCCAGATATTGTATCGATTTCAAATTTATTTCAACCCCAGCGACCGAAAACAGAAGAGAATAAAGTATTAGAGCTGTGAATTTGAACAAATTGAAAGTCAGTTATATACAGTGCTACAGTGAAATGAGGTGTTTTATGACGTTGTTTTGTGCAAGAATCACTGCCATTAATACAGAGCTACAGTGAAGTGCAGTGTTTGATGACATACTTTTGTGCAAATTCACTGCCATTAAATTTCCACAAGATACTGCTAAATTTATTCGTAAATATTACAGCTTTCGTCCTAGAACGGGCAAATAAGCTAGTTATATATACAGTATTGTGGCTTCAGAAAACGTCTTGCAGAATGACTCGTGACTTTACGAGTAACCATTACCAATCCCACTAATATGAAAAAGTAAATTAATCAGAATACGTTCGACGCCACCGTATGGGCATTTCTCCCTTTATCAACAAAGCTGGACACACTATAACATAAATATAGTCCAAATTGGTTGCCATTGTACTCAAATAAAACGCATCTTTGTGGGTACACTAATTTATACCCACATTCAATTGTTCAAAATGTACATCTTAAATTCTTGGACCGCCACTGTCGTGGGTTGGTATAAAATATAAACAATGTGCTTGATTGAACATAATAAATAATATTTTAAAAAACTTTTTTTTAAACACGCTTTAATGAAATGTACCGATAAAGCAATGGCAAAACTCCACGACTCCAGGAAGTGACCTCGAAGCTTGCCATAACGTAAGGGACCGTGGTGATTTACAGACCCAAGCCGACACATAACATATAAAAAAAGATCGTTTAACATTTTTTATGATATAATATAGTATTGTCATCAGTATGACATAAGTATACCAAGCTTGCCGTCGATACCACATTGGGAAGTGGGTTAAAATTGCACAAGATTTGAGGATACAACAGACGGAGTGAGTTAATAGAAAGAGTGTAAAAAGATTGTTTAAAAATATAAATTTTATGATAGAATATAATATTGTCATCAGTAAGACATAAGTATACTAAGTTTGCAGTCGATACCACATTTGGAAGTGGGTTAAAATTGAGTTACAAGATTTGATACAACAACAGACAGAGTGAGTTAAATAAAAGCGTGTAAAATGGTTCCAGTTCCTGGTATATTGCTCCCAGTTCCTGAACCTTTCTCAGTCCCTGTCTTTGAGGTAGGACATCTCCAGCACTGATCTCAGATCCCATTCTTAGTTCCAGGTTATCACTCGCAAGTCCACGGTCCACTGTCTCCACTCTTGGCCCCGGTCCTAGCCTCTGGTTCCCTGGACACCATCCTGTGATCCTCACTCCTAGTCCCTGCCTGCCACCTTTGGGCCTCGATCTTGGTCTAGTCAAAGCCACGGCAGATGCGTCTGCCTCCTACACAAATTTAAGAATAGGCCACAAGTGCCGTGTGCGGGTCACGAATCTCAAACCCGATGACCGCAGAGCAAAACACACCACTGCTCGCTTTGACCATTCACTGGCAGCGTTTCACAATAGTCACCATGTGCTTACTCCTGGAGCCGTCCCAACTGGCTCGCTCAGTCACACCCCAACCCGACCCCCACGTGAACACAGAAACGTCGCTCATCAACTTGCCCCACCGACCACGCGAAAGAAGGCAGCCACTGCTGGTTCCTTGGGCTCCCCAAGCCCCCTTGTCTGCCAACCCCAATTCCCGTACTCACCCCTTTGCCGAGCCGCTTCTTGATGTCGTACTTCAGAAGGATGTGCGAGTCGATGTCGGTGTTCATGGTTGAATCGGGATGCCGTTGTCAAGCGGTGCGACTAACAGCACTTACCACCCCCCTTAGAGACGAGCACCACCAGGAGCCCTACAGGCACCGCGATTGTCGGGTTACCTGTTGAGATTACTGTTCGCATTACCCGTCAGATTACATGTTACAGCACTCGTTACGTTCGTCAGGTATCCCCGTCAGGTTACGCGATACTCTATACAGCTGTGCTATCGGTGCCGTTACCTTTCAGTAATGAAGGTAACGTTGATAGAGCGACATGAACCTAGCTACTTTAACGTAGGCGATGCTGTACGTGATGCTATCGATGCAAGCGAACGCAACTGATGTAATGTAACCGACGCCGTTCGTGTAGATGACGGCAATGCAGCCGATGAACGCAATGCAGCTTGAGTGATTAATGCGGCTCGCGTAATTACTCGGGGCTATTGTGGCTAACGCAAGAGGGTGGTAGGTAGAGCAGGCGACACGGAAGCGAAGGCCAACTCGCCTTCCCAGGCCAACTCGCCTCAACGACTTCAGCCCCCCCCTCCTCCTCCTCCCTGGCTTGCGTTCGCCGCGGTTAGCAGTAGTCGGTGCCTCGGGGCGTCACGGGGCGAAGCGCAAGTAAACTGGAAAATCGGAGCGACGCGACCGATTTTTTGTTTTAATTCATCGCCCAATTAAGAAAGTCCATTTGCTATTATAAGCCGAGGTGGAGGAGAGCGAGGCAGACGCAAGGGCGGCGCGCGGCATTGTGGGGGGGGGCGGGGCGGCGTGTGTTTACACCGCGTCGCCCTGGGAGACGGCCTAAGCCAATGGGAGCGCGCGGGGCGGTTGTAGAGTAAGGGGTGGGGTAGGGTGGGGGTTTCAAACTATAGCCCCGCCCGCCCGCGTCATTAGTAGCCCCGCCCACTACCTTGACAGCCCCGCCCACTCCATTGGTAGCCCCGCCCATGGCGTTGGTAGCCCCGCCCATTGAAGTGATAGCCACGCCCTGTCGTCAGAATCAGGATAAAATGTATTTATACTGGAGGAATCCGATGAGCTATAAAGCTCTTTATTTCCACAGATATCCTGTAGGGGGTTGTTCAGCAACGTTACAACAACAAATACACGATACAAAAACACGATAGGAGTGCAAAATGTAGGAAGGGTAAATAAATCACTTAAACATATACGAATGAAACTAAAACTGTTATCTTACCATGGCCCCCCGCCTAACCAAGCCCCCCCGCTCTATCCCCCCCGACCACCGCTGCATGCTCACGGCTGGAAGTGGGGAAAACTGCGACAGCACGTCGGACAAATTTATCCTGCAATTTGGTTTGGTGGCCGCACTAATCGGGTACAAGCAGAGAAGATTTTCTTTTTTTTTGCATCTTCGTTGCCTTTCTAGTAGTTGCGAGCGATTTCATAGCCCGAGTGTCAACTCACACATGGCCACGCCAAAGGTATTATTGGAAAGTCTTATTTGGCCATTACGTCTTAGGGGCCGTCCATACATGACGTCACGAACCTGGGGGGGGGGAGGTCAGACATTTGTGACGATGTGTGACGACGGGGGGGGGTGAGAAATGTGACGTCACATTAGAGTGCAGCGCCACATTAAATACGCACTACAATAACAATAGTTTAAAGCGATTTGAAGCATGTTTTATATATTTGGGGGGGGGGGGGCAAAGCTTTGTGACGTCATACTTCAGGGGGGGGGTCTGACTTTTTGTGACGACCCTTACCTAACGCTGTCCCAATGGAATTCATAACCCTTAAACCAATCCTTATTAATAATCCCAAGACAAGCGCCTTTGGAAGTGTGATAATCTATTTTCAGGTATATGTGTTGAATGAATGAATCAGTCAAGGCTTTGAATGAATACGTTAAGTCAAATAGACAACTCGGAATCAAAGAATGCGTCTAATTGTTTAAATGGATAACGAATGAATCCATAGATGACGATTATATATAACTCAATGATTCAATATATTATTACCATTTATTAGACGACCAAACAATGAATAGGTGACTCAACGAAAGTAATCGATTCAATGAATGAATCAAAATTGGAACAGATCCACGATGGAATGAATCAATATGCGAATGAATAAACTTTAAACATTCGGCGATAACACTGCTTTTTTTAAAAATAAAACTGTACGGTCTAACAAACGACTAAACGGATGACTGAATTAACAACTCAAGACGTCGCTTGCACGTAAACATATCACTAGATTTTGATTTAAAGCTTTCGTGACTGCAGTAATTCATATTCTTAGTTTTTTCGGTAAAGTCACGTTGAAGAGAAACAACAAAATAACAAAATATATATAAAACAATAAAAAATTCTCACGACGTTTCGACCATAACTCAAACGGTCATCATCAGGTGTGTCGGTTTGCATAAATTTATTTTATATAATAAATTTATTTAATATAATAAATTTTATATAATAATAAATTTTATATAATAAATAAATTTATGCAAACCGACACACCTGATGATGACCGTTTGAGTTATGGTCGAAACGTCGTGAGAATTTTTTATTGTTTTATATATATTTGGTTGTTTCTCTTCAACGTGACTTTACCGAAAAAACTAAGAATATATATCACTAGATTTAAAAAAAAATAACGAAATTAATGACTCGATGAATTCATAACTTTGGTGAATAAATGGATAAAATTAATGAATGAAACTGCCCGTGACCCCGGGGTTGTTTGACTATCGCCGACCACTTTGAAGCCGAATCCTGACCGGGTCTCCCAACACCAAACAACATTTCTCACCCCCAGCGAGACGAAACGAGGTGAGGCTCTCACTTGTTGTTGTTGTTCATCGTCATCATCATCTTCTTCTTCTCTTGGTCTCACTTGAGCGATCGTTCACCTCTCTCGTCTACAGCCCCGCCGCTCGTCGCTGGGACCCCCGTAGCCCGTAGCCCGTTCGTCTCCACCGGTCTCGCCTGGATTTTTAGCCGTGGCCTTGACGGCTAGGCCCCGGCGCAGCGGCCGCGCCCGGCACCTCCGGAAATCGCCAAATAAACCGCTACCAAAAGACGCGTCTGATATTTTGCTCGAAATGCTACTCAAGTTTAAGTAAAATGTTGAGGGCACGTTAATTGGGGGGGGGGGAGTGATCGTCATTCGTAATGAGCAGACACAACTGGGTTAACTTTAACCGAGATACATCGGATCGAGTGTTTGGAAGGGCTGGGCAACGGCGTTCCAACATCATCATCGGCCCAAGGGCAACAAACAGCGTTTTGTAATCCGTAATACGGGTTTTTTTTAATGTTAGATCGCGTAAATATATAAATGTGTCGTTAAACCCGCCACCACCCGACACAGCCAACTAGTAAAGGTTTGTCACGTAAACAGAACGTGGCCAATTCGTTACTAGTTACAGCGCACCGGTTGTGTTGTCGAGCAAATCCACAACATTTACAGTCTTGATTGAGCGCGACGTTCCGCCGGTAATTACAACCGGCATCATCAGGCGACGGCCAGATTTGTGGAGGAGTCCTCCAGCGTTTGTAAATTACACGGCGAGCAAATGCACGGCGACCGCTTTGAATCCACCGCTGGATGAGTGTCGTCTTGTGTTCATTTTGCCGCAGTGCGTGTCGGTGAATTGCCGGTAGCATAGACGTTACAGTTCAGCAATCGTATTGCTGTATTGACGCCGTGCTGCTACAGACAGCAGCAGCAACAGCAGCCTTCAACGCATGTGTTATGCATCGTGGTCGTCCATCCTGCTTCCGAGGTCTGAAGAGATTGGGCGCATTCCGTGTTGATTTAGCCATGGCCTGGCTGTGTGTGTAAACAGATTTCATTTTGCATTTCGCTTCCATTGAAGATTTGCATTAGAAAAGATCCAGGTACCACCGTGATTAAGTATGGTCACGATGTTGTAAGAGGCCTTCGTCTAGCAGTGGATTCACCAGGGGCTGAATTAAATGTACAGTGCAGTAAATCATGTGGTTACGTAGTGAAATATTCAGAACTAGCCTCTTGCCCGTCCAAGGACGGGTGCATTGCAGTAAATCTGAAACTTGCAAGCGAAAAAATCTAGATTTGAGATTGCAAGCGAAAATCAGACCGCGACGTGATATATTCATTGCATCAATTCGTGCGCAATTTGTAAGGCCGCGGTGACACAGACTTATTTAATTTTTAACGTTATAATCCCTTACTCTTTGGTTCTTTCGGTAAAGTCACGTAGGTATAAAATAACATAAATCGCGACGTTTCGGGCGCAACACAAGCGTCCGTCATCAGGTGGGAAAGATGACGGACCGCTTGTGTTGTGCGCCTGAAACGTCGTGATTTATGTTTTATTATACCTACGTGACTTTACCGAAAGAACCAAAGAATTTGTAGTGAGGGTTGTAAAAGTTGACGCCGAGAGGGGAGGAGGCGCCTCGCCCCCCCCCCCATGTGGAGTAACGTCAGACGCTAATTATTATGAATGGTGGGGGGGGTGATCCATTTCGAGGACGTCCCTTATGATTATTAATGAGGGGGGCTGTTCGATGTGGAGTGACGTCACCTGCTCATGATTATTAATGAGGGGGGGTACGCCATATTGAGTGACGTCAACCGCTCATGATTATTAATGAGGGGTGGAAGGGTGTCCATTTGGAGGATATCAATTGCTCATTAATATTAGGGGGGCTGGACGATGTGACGTCACGAGCGTTAGGGACAGACATTCCTGGGTGATTGTAGGTATTCATTTCGGGGGTCACACTCAGCCTTTCTTGATTACAATAAGTACCATTCATCATAGGCATTATCTTGAAAGTCCATATTTTGTTGTTACGGTATATTCTCTAATCAATGTGTTTCTCTATCTGCCAGGCGGTTTCGTAAGCAAGCAATTTGAAAGTCTGCGTCTTCACGGTTTATATGTATTTTGCATGTATTTGCTCACATGGGTCAGCGGACATCTCTCCGTGATGCCCCACGCCGAGATGAAGGTTACCGACTCGGAGGGTCCCTCTGTGACCCCTCACGCGGAGTTCGTTCACTGCCTGGGGGCCCCTACGCACGTCCTCAAGTACGGACGGACGCACATGCGGGGCCCAGGATACGATGGGCAGGGACCCCCCCAGATCCTCTTCATGCTCATTCCAGGTCAGATTCAGGATGGGCAATGTGTTTCTGGTTGTCACCGCGTGTTGTTCGACAAGATGTCCGACGTTTCGCTCGACATGCCGGATGCTTTGTCAGGAACTGAAATTCACAGGGGTCGTATGAAATGAAGCGGCGAGTTGTATTTGGCCCCGCGGGTCGTAGGTGTCCCGCCCCAGTCATGAACAGTTGAGTTTGGTAGGAAAATTTGAGATAGCCCCATACGCGTACGAGGGTCTTTGAGCTCTGGCTCCATGCCTCCCGAGTTCTTGATCGAACAATGCTGCCGATTGGTGAAATATGCGTGCATTTTAAATTCTTCATGATTAAATTAGACACAAACTTCACAAACCAAAATAATCTGCATCCTGGCATTCTTTCTACAAATAGCATCTCCGCCTCTTCTAAAAGTAACCTCCCAAAATCTTGATACTTTGAATCTGTTTTATGGTAATATTTTATTATTTCTGTACATTAACTCTTTTGATATGCTTTGATGCATTCACTTGTATTTATTCCTCTCTTGTTATGTTTTAGATTTGTATATTAGTCCAGAATTGCACTGCATTAGTTGTCACTTGGTCACCTAGGCCACTCTCAAAACTTTCAGTGGGTTCTAACCTGGTAAAATAAAGTCTTTCATCATAATGATCATCATATGATACATTTTTTCTGGTTAGAAAAGGGTATGCGTAATGTTATGAAGGGATCAACAATGTTTGTGTTCACGGATGCACGTGTGTACATGGATCGGATTGTGCACATGGATGGCTTTGTGTACATTGATGGGTTTGTGTGCTCCAGGAAACCCAGGTGTTATGGATTACTACAGAACCTTCATGGCAGGACTCTACCAGGCGTTTAAAGGCCAATACTCGGTATGGGGTATTAGTCACGCAGGGCACTGCGTTCCTCCTCCTGGTGAGCACTCGAATTCTCATGAAATTACTTCTCAGTTGCATACTTGAAGCTGCCCAAGATACTAAAGATGTAACCCAAATAAACAATTGGCTCCTTATTCTTGGTTCTTTCGGTAAAGTCACGTAGAAGGGAAACAATAAAATAATAAAAATATAAAAAATAAAATTCTCACGACATTTCGACTGCAACACAAGCAATCATCATCGCTGCAACCCTCAAAAACGCTAAGATGCCAGCTAGCAACCTCAGCAAAGATGAGCGTTTTGAATTATATAAATTAAAAAAGAGGGATGACATTGTCATCCTCTCAGCCGACAAGGGCAATGTCACTGTCATGGATAAAATAGAATATAACAATAAAATTCAAGAATTACTCAATGATGGCAGCTATACAAAAATAAAAAGAGATCCCACCAACAGCCTCGTCATACAAACCAACAAAATCATTTCTGATTCAACCGCATTAATTGATCAAACCAAACAGTTCTTGTTGAAACCTGCTGCTGCCAGGCCACCAAGATTATACGGCTTACCAAAAATACATGAAGTAGATACACCCCTTCGTCCCATCGTCTCTACTATCAACTCCCCCACCTACAAACTGGCTCGTTTTTTGTCTTAAATCCTGCGGCCTTTCACTGGAAAAACCACCTCTGCGGTACAAAATTCTACTCACCTGGTATCGACAATCACGGGTATTTCCGTCCCCAGAAGACCTGCTTGTCAGTTTTGATGTAGTTTCCTTATTCACCAAAGTTCCTGTACCTGACACCATCGCAATCATTGAAGACTTGGTTCATTAAGGACTGCATACTGATGTACCCCCCTGGTGAGACACTGCTTAACCAATACATATTTGACTTGTAATGGAACTTTCTACAAACTGAGGGCACCCCAATGGGATCCCCCCTATCTCCGGTTGTAGCCAAGATTTTCATGGAGAAATCTGAGACTGACGCCATCCAGACTGCCACTCTGTGCCCATCCTTATGGAAGAGGTACGTGGATGACACTTTTGTCATCTGGCCACATGGCTGGCCTGCTCTAGACCAATTCCTCGACAACACATCAATTCCATACACCCAGTCAGATTTACCATGGAAGTTAAAAAAGATGGCAAGCTACCTTTTTTGGATGTCCTGATAAAAAAGAGACTTGATGGTTCAATGAGCCACTCTGCCTACAGGAAAGCTACCCATACAGATGCTTAATATATATAAAACAATTATATATATTTTGTTATTTTGTTGTTTCTCTTCAACGTGACTTTACCGAAAAAACTAAGAATATGAATTACTGCAGTCACGAAAGCTTTAAATCAAAAAATAGATGGACTTGTCCATCTGAATAACTGCCAAATCGCTCTCCGTGGTGCTAATGTAAAAAAAAACTGCCACTTTTTTCAAATTTTCTTGCTGTGGTTTTCACACCTGATGATGATTGCTTGTGTTGCAGTCGAAACGTCGTGATAATTTTATTGTTTTACATTTTTATTATTTATTGTTTCCCTTCTACATGACTTTACCGAAAGAACCAAGAATATGAATCCCTGCAGTCACGAAAGCTTTAAATCAACATTTATTTGGCTCCTTACTTATCGGTATGTACTTAGGATCTATGTCCTTAGCTGCTTAAAACAAGTTTGAAGCTTTAGTCATGAGAAATTATGTTTTAAAGTTAAAACAAAGTCCATTATAGCATCATTATGGCACTGGATAATTCCTCCTAGACCGCTTCACCAATTTCAAGTCATGATGTGTCATTTGAACATTTCATATGCCTGTTTTTTGTCAAGTTCACAATTTATATATATGTATTGTTTAACCTGATAGTTGTGTGTTTACAGCTGGTCACATGGTTCTCCCTTTTGGAACTGTTGTAAAAAGTGGCCTTTTTATACAAATGTGATGTTGGTTGTTACATTTCCCCCTATGTGCTCATGCACCAAACTACTCATGATCACCGTTTCAGACCTGGAAGCTCATCAAAATGCGGATGAGCACCCGGACGTGTTTGGCTTGGATGGGCAAGTGGAGCACAAGAGGGCCTTCCTGCGAGAGCATGTGGGGCCCGCAGTGAGGCTGGTTCTCATCGGCCACTCCATCGGCTGCCACATCATCCTGGAGATTTTGAAAAGGGACCCACAGCTCAAGGCATGCTGTTATAAGAAATGTCTTAGCGAGAATACAGGGTGATCTGTTTATAAGACAACCCACCGATGAATAATAACCTCCACACCTACTTTATTCTCAAACGTTGATCAAATGCTGTGGAAGTGTTGGCTCCATATCTTGGAGGAGTTAAGATATTTAATAAGTGTATTGATATTGGTAGATGTAGACCCTTTGGAAAAAAATTCTTCGTCTCACTTATTTGGCTGGGGTTTATTTAAATGGGTTATGCTGTATGTACACAAAACATTAACTGCCTATGGCTGAGTCATCCTGAATTTACCAAATCCCATTGCAGCTCACATGCTACAACCTTCCAGAACTTCCTGCATCAATCTTTCACCTCTGAGAATGTGCCCAATATACATACAGTAAAACCTTGGATTGCGAGTAACTTGGTCTGCGAGTGTTTTGCAAGACGAGCAAAAATTTTAAGTAATTATTAATTTGATAAACGAGCAAGGTCTTGCAATACGAGTAGTACGTACAGTGAGGGAAAAAAAGTAGTTGATCCCCTGCTGATTTTGTACGTTTGCCCACTGACAAAGAAATGATCAGTCTATAATTTTAATGGTAGGTTTATTTGAACAGTGAGAGACAGAATAACAACAAAATCCAGAAATACACATGTCAAAAAATTTATAAATTGATTTGCATTTTAATGAGGGAAATAAGTATTTGACCCCTCTGCAAAACATGACTTAGTACTTGGTGGCAAAACCCTTGTTGGCAATCACAGAGGTCAGACGTTTCTTGTAGTTGGCCACCAGGTTTGCACACATCTCAGGAGGGATTTTGTCCCACTCCTCTTTGCAAATCTTCTCCAAGTCATTAAGGTTTCGAGGCTGACGTTTGGCAACTCGAACTTTCAGCTCCCTCCACAGATTTTCTATGGGATTAAAGTCTGGAGACTGGCTAGGCCACTCCAGGACCTTAATGTGCTTCTTCTTGAGCCACTCCTTTGTTGCCTTGGCCGTGTGTTTTGGGTCATTGTCATGCTGGAATACCCATCCACGACCCATTTTCAATGCCCTGGCTAAGTGAAGGAGGTTCTCACCCAAGATTTGACGTTACATGGCCCCATCCATCGTCCCTTTGATGTGGTGAAGTTGTCCTGTCCCCTTAGCAGAAAAACACCCCCAAAGCATGTTTCCACCTCCATGTTTGACGGTGGGGATGGTGTTCTTGGTCATAGGCAGCATTCCTCCTCCTCCAAACACGGCGAGTTGAGTTGATGCCAAAGAGCTCCATTTTGGTCTCATCTGACCACAACACTTTTACTCAGTTGTCCCCTGAATCATTCAGATGTTCATTGGCAAACTTCAGACGGGCATGTATATGTGCTTTCTTGAGCAGGGGGACCTTGCGGGCGCTGCAGGATTTCAGTCCTTCACGGCGTAGTGTGTTACCAATTGTTTTCTTGGTGACTATGGTCCCAGCTGCCTTTAGATCATTGACAAGATCCTCCTGTGTAGTTCTGGGCTGATTCCTCACCGTTCTCATGATCATTGCAACTCCACGAGGTGAGATCTTGCATGGATCCCCAGGCCGAGGGAGATTGACAGTTCTTTTGTGTTTCTTCCATTTGCGAATAATCGCACCAACTGTTGTCACCTTCTCACCAAGCTGCTTGGCAATGGTTTTGTAGCACATTCCAGCCTTGTGAAGGTCTACAATCTTGTCCCTGACATTCTTGGAGAGCTCTTTGGTCTTGGCCATGGTGGAGAGTTTGGAATCTGATTGATTGATTGCTTCTGTGGACAGGTGTCTTTTATACAGGTAACAAGCTGAGATTAGGAGTACTCCCTTTAAGTGTGCTCCTAATCTCAGCTCGTTACCTGTATAAAAGACACCTGGGAGCCAGAAATCTTTCTGATTGAGAGGGGGTCAAATACTTATTTCCCTCATTAAAATGCAAATCAATTTATACAATTTTGACGTGTTTTTCTGGATTTTTTTGTTGTTATTCTGTCTCTCACTGTTCAAATAAACATACCATTAAAATTATAGACTGATCATTTCTTTGTCAGTGGGCAAACGTACAAAATTAGCAGGGGATCAAATACTTTTTTCCCTAACTGTATACGCTTTGTCTACCGAGCGTCACGTGATCACAACTGATATACGAGTGCTTTGGATTACAAACACGTTTCCGGAACGAATTATGCTCGCAATCCAAGGTTTTACTGTATATTATTTGTTCCCTCCGAATTCTTTTGCAGGTGATAAAATCTGTGCTGCTCTTCCCAACGATTGAGAGGATGGCAGAGTCTCCCAGTGGTCGAGTGATGACCCCGATCCTTTGCCGACTGCGGTACCTCGCGTACCCCCCTATCCTCTGCCTCTCCTTCCTGCTCCCACTGCGAGCAAAGACCCTCCTGGCTAGTGTGGCCCTCTGGGCCAGTGGCCTCGGCCCCAAAACGGACCCCAACGCCGTCTCTGCATCCCTGAACCTGTTCAGCGTTCACTGCGCGGGTGGGAGCTTTGTTATAGTTTTAACGTGGCTTGTGTCGAAACATGTTTGTAAGAGTACGAATGTACAATGGTTTTACAGATAACCTTTTTTATAAATACAAACCCTCATGCATACATAATGTATTTATTACATTATAGTAGATTATTGTAAGTAAAGTTTGTGGTATTTTAACATTTGTACATTTCCTATTTTCAGCAAACAGCATGTACATGGCCAGCCAGGAGATGTACCAGGTTACAGAAAGGGACAATGTTACCATTCAGGAGCATCTTGACAAGGTAACTCTACAACATAGGGAAATCACATCACGTGGGTAAGACAATTACAATGCAATGTGTATGTATCTAGTGTGTAAATGTGACTGCACCTCAATGTATGTATGTTTAACTTCTTTCATAGCCAACTGTGCTAAGTCAAGATGCGAAACGGTTGGCATATTCAATTCTATCGAGAGGCATTTGGTCATAGGCCGAGGTAAAAAGGAAGATTTTGGAGTTGAAATTTAACAAGGTCACAGGGCGTCAATAGCATAGATGGCTGAGTGAAGGGATTCCCAGACAATGGGGGCAACAGAGGAGAATGAACGACCTCCCACTGAATGAATGTTGCTTGAGGGCTTTGACCGAAAGCCTTGGTTGTTGGAGTGGAGAGTGCATGCTTGGGAGTCACGCAAGTAGAGGCAGGCAGGAGCGAGTCCACTGAGTATCTTAAAAATAATGAAATGCCATCCCACTTCACATTAGCGTTTAATCTGCACCTACTTTTAATACACTTCAAGGCCCCATATCATTAACTTGGCTTTCAAATGACACCGAGCTTGGCTCTGTGCCTCAGTCACTGTCATTTGTCTGCGAAATATTGTGCGCGCTACAAATTGCATTACTATTAATCCACGGCTGGATGACGGCTTCCCCATGCCAATATCGGTCATAGGGGTTGTGATCATACTGCACTACGTTGTTCAACGCAAGTTTAAGTGGGGTCCTCAGGTTCGGTTCAGTTATATCTTGACACTGATGTTAGCTATGGCCAGAACTGTTTGCTGGGATCATAGCACACTGCGCCACCGCGCCACCGCTCCTCCCAACACGATTCAACTTTGCAAATGTGGTGCTGTTAAAACATTAAAAACTTTACAATGTGTGGCGTGTTACCGTCAACAGCTTATATTTTACTACGGAATGTCAGACCACTGGTGTCCTGTGGAATACTACCACGACATGAAGCGGGACTTCCCAGCGGGCGATGTTCGGCTTTGCGAGAAGGGCATCCGGCACGCATTTGTGCTGGACTCCAGCCTGGAGGTGGCCCAGTTCGTGCACTCCTGGATCAAGGAGGTCCTCGTGTGAGCCCACGTTTACACAGAGGCGGGGGAAGCCTGGGGGAGGTGGCAGATGCCTTGCTAAAGCAATTCTAATACTTTTTTTCTGGAGATGAGAAACTCATCAGATGGAAAGATGGCAATGTCACTCCTAAAACAAGCTTGTTGCAAGCATGCTGTAAATCAAAAGTTCCTTTAGATTGACATGCTATGAGTTTCCACTGTCAAAGTGCACAGAAGTAGCATGGTAACGCATTCCACCATTTATGCACGTTAATGTCCATATGTACAAGGCGTTGCCGGAATGTCAATGCTATGATATATGGTGCCATATAATACCCATGAGATGTTGTCCGTTTTGCTAAATATGATTATTAGTTAATTTTTCTTGTGACAATATTTATAAAATGTTAAAAGTTGAAATGATCATTTGCTCATGAGAATTGAGGCAGTGTCCATCTCCAGTTTACAGCTTGAGCCAGTGGTGGAAATTACGCATTCCTATGGCATGGGTAAATGACCAATGTGGATCTTCTCTTGTGGTACTCAGAACATACCAGGTGGTTCAGCCATCTGGTATGACAAACAACTTGGAGTTGTAAATAATTAGCTATGAAATCAACGATTTCTTAAATGTTTCCTGAAGTAATTGATAGCATGGCATAATTTTTGCACTTAATTTGTGCACTGACAGTGTGTGAATTATAGATTGTAAAGTCGCAATAATTGGAAGATTTGTTGCAGGCATATCATGTGAACTGCTCGAAGATCTTTCGAGTAATCTTTATTCGTAATGGACATACACCAAAGCACAAAAACCGTAAGATAAAAGTGAAAAGTTTTTACCAAGCTATGGGAAAATTATATCTGGATAATTGTCGCATCATGAATATTAATATTGTACCATGGAAAATTACATTGTGGCTACCCTCCTAAGTACTTGCATACCTGCTGTTTGTAATTAACAAAAGCACTTTTCAACCGAAATGTTCCAATATTTATACCATATTGTTCAATGCAAATATTTCGTATTTTAAAAATGTTTTCATTACTATGAATGTCTTAAGATTTTAATTAAAATGATTGTCGCAACTTTGCTTTGATCTCATTTGTATTTTGCAGTATGATACTTCAAACGAATAAGCTGTGCGTTGTTTAAATGTACAAATTACCAGAGCTGTCTCATGTATTTTCCTTAAGAATTGTTCCCAAAGAAGCTCCCAATACACGGGAGAAAATCATCGGATACCTCGTGTCAAACAATACATGGTACAAACCGAAAAAGACAGCCGTACAACGCAACTGCAAAAGCCTACTGGGTGCCAACGAACAATGTTAAAATTGTATTAAGAACCATTCAGTGATATTTACATATTATGAAACAAGTCCATAGGACCCAGCATATGTCATCGCCCCCATTTCAGGCAAAGTATCAAAATGTTTTACAACCATCTTATTAAATAAATGGACAGCTGGCCTGTGGTAGGACTCAAGACCTGGTATTTCATTTCAATTAGCAAGTAAAATGCTGAGTTTTGAGCACTATGTTCAGGAATGCATCCATAGCGATCACTTGCAGGCTTGTGAAATAATGTCACGTGCTGGGAAAGCTGGCAAAATTAGTCACCAGATGCCCTCAGTGTGGCCACAGGGCCACCATGGGCTACACCGTACAGCCTCCCGAACCACCTCTTCTCAAACTGGCCAATGGAATTAGGAGTGTCGTCGTGACTACGAGCCTCGTCGGTCACCTGTGATTCGTCTCCCGTCGTCCCCAATGTCACCAGGTCTTCCCCCAACACCTTAATCAGGACAACCAAGCGAAAGGAAAGTTTAGTTTCACTCACCTACCAACAAAAACTTAACAATATTATCGTTCAATTGCATGCTCTTACATCTTGCCGTTTGGCATATCTGACGTTTCACTCAATATGTTTAATCAGCAAACAACCCGAGCACCTCAAATTTCTTGATGAAGCTCCCAGCACAGAGTAAAAAATCGGACATCATGCTGAACAACATGCGGTACAACCTAAAAACACATTGGAAAGCTATAAAACACTACCTTACATCTTGTATGACATCAGATATTCGGCAATAAGTAACCTCAAAGCGAATGTATTTAAGCTGCAATTTGTGACGTCTTACCTCTGCCATGCACATCAGAGTCGTTTCCCCAACGCCGCTTTTCTCCAAGTCTGAAGTGATGTTAGCTTGAGCCTCTAAGTTCCTGTCCAGGATGAAAGCCGACTGGGATGCACTGGAGAGCTGCAGAAGCAACCTGTTTCATTGGATTGGGAGTGACATTTGACGGCACAATATTGCGATGCTGTTGTTGTTGGCCAAGAATTAACCATCATAAGCCATGATATGTCCACTGCTGAATGAAAGACTCCCCAAGTCATTGTCATGTCTCAAGGTCCTGCAATCTAACAACCTTACACCTGAAAATGTGCAAATGTAATAGCTCCATCTTGCCGGTACACGTCCTTACCCAGGGCCGACTTACTTTTCTAAAGTCAATATTATGTCTCTACCTTGGGTGTGTTCTCTAATCCACGTGTTTCTCTTTCCGTGTATTCCAAGAACGCATCTCTCCACACATACGGCATCTGATTATAACATACCATTCGGCTATTATTAGTAAGCACTATGCAAAAATACACCACTATTGGCGAGCATTCAAAGCTTGTGAATCGGCATTCACAATGCAATGCCTCTCCTTACCTTGCTCTCACGCGACACGCACAAGCATAAAGCCTCCATCTTTCTGGTTCATCTGTCACCGCTGGCGATCCGCTCATCAATTCCATCGATTCAGCATCTCCTGCTGACGCTGCCGCAGCTTTTGTACACACGTCTGTTGCACATTTGTTGTTTTCGCTCATTCGCTTAGCAGCTTCGTCCCCAACATTAGGCAGAGCACAGGTGCTGGCATCGTGGGAATCGCTATGAATGCAACTTTGAAATCCGCATGCAGTTGAGGGGTCACTGTTGTCACTCGGCCTGTGGGTGTCACAGTTGCGCGAGCTTCCACTGCCACAGCTGCTGCCTCCGTTGCTGTGGCCGTCACTGTCGCTGTGCGACTGCTCCCCGTTGCATTGTACGCTGCTCCGGGCACATCGCGACAGCTCCTGGTAAATCGCCGCCAGCCGTCGCCAGTGCCAGGCGTCCAGCGGGCGCAGGCTCGTGAGTCGCGTCAGGGCCGACAGCTCGCCCTGCAGGTGGCCGGCCTGCCGCTGGATGGCCGCCACCAGCGTGTGCACCACACAGTCGTGGTCCATGTTCGTCGCGATGGTGCCCTGTTGCACGGCCACGGGTAAATCGTATCCTATCATTCCATGCCAGTGTTCCTCACCAATTTTCAGAGGGGGGTACTTTCACTGATAAGACATCAGTGTGAGGGCAGCCACATTTGAAATTATTGGGGTTTGACAACATGATGGGGTGTTTTCACATTTGTGTATTGTCGGGGGCCAGACGTCAGGGGGGGCACTAAAGGCCACCAGGGGCCGCCAGTGGCCTGCGGGCCTTGCAATGAAGAACTGTGGTACACGTGGTGTTCGTGTGCTTCTTATAGTGCAATGCTATCTTAAAGGTGCAGTTTCAGTTATCGTCTACAGTAGTTAACGAGAAGGGGCGACGTGGCTACACCCAATTAGGTAACTGGCAAGACTGTAATTGATCAAATTTGGACTGTGACACTGGCGTACATTGCCATCTTTTTCAAATAACACCACGAGGTCTATAATGTACACTGTGAAGCAGGTGGTACATATGTTGTGGTATTAACCAGGGCAGCCGTTGGGCTCAAACAGCTTCGCTGTACAACAAGCGGCAATCATTGTCGCTCTGCCATGCCATCACCCCTCGTGTGGGACGAGCAGAGAACGCATGAATGCTTAATTTGTGACACGCGTTGAGTTTCGTAGAGAGCCACAGGTTGCACTTCTTCCAGAGTTTATTGCTAAAAAGCAGCACACCTGCAAGCCGAGTACCTCCAGGTATCTCCTTGTCTTGACTCCTAGTAAGTAAGTTATTTCTTTCTTCATGTATCCTTAATGTGTGTAATATTACTGCTACGTATAATGCCGAATTGCTAATTTCGGATTACACACGGGAGCAATCACCATTCCCTCCTGGCAGACTAACTGCCCGTTGGCAGTTCAGGGACACAGGAACAGCAGCTAACTAGGGGTGCGCCCTTGCAAAAATGTGTACCGAGACACCCTGGCATATGTGGCATTCTATTAAACAACAAATATTCATAATTTCTAAATACATTTGTCAGAAGAAGGCTTTGTGGACAAATGTGTTTTTTTTTCTGGCAGCATTTGTTTAAGCTGGCCAACACTGGACTGGCTTCGACGTTCCGAGTCTGTGCAGCGTGGCGTGCGTGATCGCGTACCAGGGTGTGTGCCGTCTGCAGGGCCTCATCTGTGCGGCCCACGTGAGAGAGGCAGCGACTCCGCGCCTCCAGCGCATCTCGCCGCACCGCCGTGTTACTGAGCGGCACCAGCGACAGACAGGCATCATACCAGCCCAGGGCGGCCTGCGTCACGACACCAACACACACCATCACCAACACACACCATACACCACCACATACCACCACCACATACTATTACCACCACTCACCACCACCACATACTATTACCACCACACACCACCACCACATACTATTACCACCACATACTACTACCACCACATACTATTACCACCACCAAATGCTATTACCACCACACACCACATACTATTACCACCACATACTATTACCACCACACACCACCACCACATACTATTACCACCACCACCACATACTATTACCATCACACACCACCACCACATACCATTACCACCACACACCACCACATACTATTACCACCACACACCACCACCACATACTATTACCACCACACACCACCACCACATACTACTACCACCACATACTATTACCACCACACACCACCACCAAATACTATTACCACCACACACCACCACTACATACTATTACCACCACACACCACCACCACATACTATTACCACCACACACCACCACCACCACATACTATTACCACCACCACATACTATTACCACCACCACATACTATTACCACCACACACCACCACCACATACCATTACCACCACACACCACCACCACATACTATTACCACCACACACCACCACCACATACTATTACCACCACACACCACCACCACCACATACTATTACCATCACACACCACCACCACCACATACTATTACCATCACACACCACCACCACATACTATTACCACCACATACTACTACCACCACACACCACCACCAAATGCTATTACCACCACACACCACATACTATTACCACCACACACCACCACCACATACTATTACCACCACACACCACCACCACATACTATTACCACCACCACATACTATTACCATCACACACCACCACCACATACCATTACCACCACACACCACCACATACTATTACCACCACATACTATTACCACCACACACCACCACCACACACCACCACCACATACTACTACCACCACATACTATTACCACCACATACTATTACCACCACACACCACCACCAAATACTATTACCACCACACACCACCACTACATACTATTACCACCACACACCACCACCACATACTATTACCACCACACACCACCACCACCACATACTATTACCACCACCACATACTATTACCACCACCACATACTATTACCACCACACACCACCACCACCACATACCATTACCACCACACAACACCACCACATACTATTACCACCACACACCACCACCACATACTATTACCACCACACACCACCACCACATACTATTACCACCACACACCACCACCAAATGCTATTACCACCACACACCACATACTATTACCACCACACACCACCACCACATACTATTACCACCACACACCACCACCACATACTATTACCACCACCACATACTATTACCATCACACACCACCACCACATACCATTACCACCACACACCACCACATACTATTACCACCACATACTATTACCACCACACACCACCACCACACACCACCACCACA